ACAGTAAGTCAATTCTCATTTTCAACCACACATTCTTCAATAAAATAATATTTTCTATCACATCAATAATCTTATCTTCTTTTTCAACCACACATTTCCCATCATATCACTATTCAAAATCAATTTTTCCCCCAAAAAATCCCTACCAAACAAGCTCCAAATTTCCCAATCTTTTTTCTCTTCGTATGATTCAAATGCCAAAGCTTTAAAACATGCATATGGCATTTCTTTTAGACAACATTGTTATGATCCTATCTTTATATTTATAAATTTCTTTTATTAGTAATTTTATTGTTCAATGTTTATTTTTATGTATTGATTCAATTTGAATTAGTCCATAGAATTATTTCCACGTATTTTACTATTTAGGTTTAGGAACGTGTGGAATAATGTATTTTGCACCTGATGATACCAATGTATTTTACTAATGCATTACTATTAGTAATTTTGCACGCTTTCACATGCCCAACCGTCTCCTCATGACTAAAGCACGACGACCTTTGATGGCTGTCCAGTCCATTTTGAAGGCTGAGCAGCCCCACTTCATGGGGTGTACATCCAATGGCTGAGCAGCCCCATTCAATGGGCTATACAGCCCTATTCCAATGGCTGAGCAGCCCTATTCAATGGGCTGTACATACCATTTCAAGGACTGTCCAGTCCACTATAGAAGTCGATCTTTTCACTTCAAGGACTATGTGCATCGCATCCTAAGATCTCGAGCATCGATCTCTGGCATGAATACACTAGGGCCATTGATGATACCAATCCTTGAGAAATCCCGAACACTAATGACCGAGGAGTTCATGTCACATCTAAGCTAGAATCTTATGATCTCCTCGGGCTCATAGTCCTCGGGGTCGGGCTAGATCGACCTGCAACTCTTTCTTGAGTTCGCTATCGTAACCTCAGACCGTGCAGCCCCTAACTCATTAGATGCCTACTCCGTGCTAAGACATCCTAGGAAGTAAAGTCCTTATGAGAATGTGTTACCTCATTCTAAGAAGATTCTAACACCAGAATCACATAACCACCCAAACACGTGGGCAATATGAAACCATCTACATTACAACTTCCAATTGCACTAGGACTCTTAGGCATCTCAACATTGTAGTCCTACTAGGAGTCCTCCACCTACCTCTATAAATACATCATTCTCATCCATATCAATGTATGTTTTTACACACAATTTACAGCATATACTATTTTCATAAATTCTCTCTCTGACTTAAGTATCGAAGGGGCGACGAGAACACACATCGATGCCTTTGTTTCAGGTGCCGAAAGACCTCGTTCGTGCTCATTCTCAGTCATCAAATTCGAAAGTCAACATGTACGAATTTTGGTAGTATCAACACCTATATTTAAAGATGTAAAATCAATGAAGAATTGGAATTGGTGGATGAATTATTTCAACAAACATATTTTGGAAAAGTCATTGTTTTGTCGAAATACTAATATCATTTTCGAAGGCTAAAAATCATCAAAAAAATCTACCTTAATCTTTTTTTTTTCCTTTCTATATATTTTTATCTTTTGCTCCAAAGGTTACAAACATGTCTATATATTCTCACATTAGTTTAGTCATTTATTTTGCTGCTGATAATGCTATTTTTTATGAACATAATATAGTTGTTTCGCATAACAAACAAATGTATTTCGTCTCAAATTTCTCAGTGCATTTGCTTAATGAACATCTTCATTTCCTTCGAACTATTTATATTCAGTCAATTGTCGAGTCATTGATGCTCCACCTGAAAATAAACGAGTATAATCAATTTCGCTCTTGGAGACTTTTTTAAACGATACAAATTTTTCTATAGCATTTGGAGTTTACAAACTTTGTGCACGATTTGGGTCCGAACTTCCAAATTTTGTGTAACCAATTTCATGCAACAAGAAAGCATGTTAAAGAGACTCACAGTGATGATTCTTCTATTTTAGACTGGAAATTGGTTTGATTATGGCTTTAAACCCGCATAGTAAAAAATGGGAGAAAAACCATCAACTTGGCGGTCGAACTGTGAACCGTTTGGCCTGGGGACAAGTTTCACATGTTTTTCCTGTTGATGTTTTTATTGTAAAAAAGGAAATTTTCGACTGGTTCAAACACTTGAGACTTAATTTCTATATATTAAATCTGGATACAAATATATGTGCCTGAAAGAAAAAAGAAATGAGTGGGGACATTGAGTAAAGATACATCTGTAATAACAGTGACTGTGAAAATGAGAGAGAGAGAGAGAGAGAGAGAATGGTTGAAGAACGGAATTGCATTGGGGAATAACTTATTGATTTACCTCATGAGAATAGTTGAGGACTAAATCTTCATCAGGGAATAACTGGGGGACCCAATGTCGCCTTTGAATAGTTGACGAATGAAATTTTATGTTAATGTAAGTTAGAGGACTGAATTGCCTCACGAAGATATTTGCAAGATGAACTTTTATTTTGGAATATTTGGGGAGGAAATTGCTACTTGAAGACAATAGGAGGATCAATTTTTCGTATGAAAAATTTTGGAGGAGGATACTGCCTCTTGTCTATAGATCGAGGACCAAATTGTCGCGTGTATAGAGCTGAAAGACCCAATTGTCACCCTTGAATAATTGGATGACTGAATTGCATCTTGTTGGTCGTTAGACGATTGAATTGAATCATGAAGATATGTGGAGAGTGGAACTGTATGAATGGAATAGTTGGGGAAGGAATTCCTACTTGAAGATAGTGGGAGGACCAATTTGATGCCTAAAAATAGTTTGAGGATGAGATTGCCTCTTCTATGTAGTTTGAGTACAAATTTATCACTTGTATAAAGTTAGAGGATGTAATTTACTCATGAGAATATACGAAGGACCTCATTATCATCAGGAATTACTTGGAGGACCTAATTGTCGCCATTGAATAGTTAGAGAGTGGAATTGCATCTTGATGCTAGTTATGGGACTGAAATGACTCGTGAAGATTGATTGAGAATGAAACTGTCCACATGGAATAGTTGTGGATGGAATTGCTACTTCTATATAGTTGGAGGATGTGATTGCCTCTTTTTTATAGGTTGAATACCAATTTGCTTCTTTTGAGTAGTTGGATGACCTAATTATAATTTCAGAATAGTTGGAGTATTGAATTTAATCTTGATGTTAGTTAAATGATTGAAATTAATCTTGATGTTATTTAAAGGATTATATTTCGGATGATGTTGTATCATTTAATTGTATGAATTAATCTACTCAAGCAGGAAACCCAGACAATGGAAAAAAATAGACAGATGTAACGATCTGTGATTTGTCTGTTATTTTTTTTTAAATTTTCCATCTCCCAATGAATTGCTGCCAAGTGTGTTTGTTTGCAATTTTTTGTCCATTTTCCCTGTTTGTCTAGCATTG